CCAGAACCCAACCCAAGAAAAAAAACTGACTTTGACTTGGTAAGAACTTAAAAAATTAGATCTAAAATTTATTTATACAAAAATTAAATATTAATTCAAATCTTTAATATTAATAATAGGGAAAATTGCAGCCAACGTACTGGTTTGTGATACTTCGCCGATATAAATTGTCAGTAATTTTGTATTTGACTATGTATCCCATATTAGCAAATCAAAATGTTTAGGTAAAATGTGAAAGGAAGTTTACAGTATAAATGTGAAAGTTTACAGTATTAAGGGCTTTCACCTTTTTATATGTGAAGAACAAACGTCGTCATTTCTTTATTGAATTCATATTAATTTAACCTGATTCAAGAGTCATTAAAGTTGCTCGTTCGATCTTTGCCTTGTCTTGTTTTTGCTGTTCATTTCTATGTAGTATGAATTGATCAAATTTCTTCGGTAAAGTGCAAACTGATACAAATAAGAAATTTTACACCCACTTTTTTACTGTTATGAGTCTCACCAATGGCCTGTGTAACACAAAACATTCGAGTGGTGGAAATGAACACGATATAGGACACTACAATTCCTCTGCCGCATGCTTTGAGACAAATTTGGAGCGGAAAATATGCATACTTAAATTCTTCAGAGTCAGTAGACAAATTCCTTCTACAGTTCGTGTAAACCAAAAACTATTGCAAGCTCCACCACTATCGCACGGGCGGAAACTTCTCCAAAGCTGAAACTGCTATAGATTCAGGCGCTACAAACTAAGGGCAACCCTGTGGACAATCTCCAGTTTTTTATAAATTTTCTCTGAATTAGAATGGTACCTGTCATCAGAGAGAGGTCTATGAATTCAATCGCGAACTTCGATCCAACTCGGACTATTGCCTTCATTTTTTCGACATCCTTGTTCAACTAATCAAATTCACATTGCAGTCTAACCTAATCAACTTCTTTATAAATTTAACACGGACCTAGTAAGGTCCTCCACAGGTTCGGGTTGTCACGATAGAGAATTGTTGATGACCTTAATTGCATTTTCTATCTTCCCTGAATGGCTAAATAATTCGACAATGCGCCACATAATGCTCAACTTCTCCAAGCCAATCTCGAGCTCATCAAATGAAACACTTCTTAACCATATCTTGGTGACTACACCCATGCAACAAACCAAGAAATGTAACATAGTAAGGTTTATATCCCTTTCCTCATCCCGTTTGGCATTATCTAAGCTACCACATTTGTCATACATATCAACCAGTGCATGCTCCCCAACAAAAACTTTATAAAACAGGCCCTGTTCAGTAGCCAACTCATGCAACTTCAGACCAATATTCCCCGTGCGCACAGTGGCTTTATCTGAGCTAACCACATTTTGACATAAATATCAATGAGAGCATTCCCCACAAAAACGTGTAACTTCAGACCCATATACAATGCACTTGCATGAGTGCAAGTCGGTAGCTAGTTCACTGAACTCGTAAAAAACTATCCATACTATTCCACCATACAATTTCAATGCTTCATGGTGTAAACCCACTTGGGAATAACTTGAATTCATAGATACACAATAAGGGCATGTTTCACAAGGCTTCCACTTTTGCTTCTGCTGGTAGAAGAACTTCCTGAGGAAGCTTTAGCT